GGTGGTATGCGGATTCGAACCCGCGACCCTCAGATTAGTGAGTCGAGCGCCTTATCCACCTGGCCATGCCGGGCCGGATACAGCATTATACACACAAAAAAATGTCGGGAATACTATGGAAAAACTACGAGAGATCAAATGTCAGATAACTATTATTTATTATGAAGGTGAAAATGTTAAAAATCAAACACAACGATTACAACAGATGCATCAATACAGAACTCTTGTCAAGCATGGGTACTTCAGAATGTTAAGTTTGAATATACTGTTAACTGGCTGCGCATTAAATTGTTCAAAGTAAGTGAACATCGTACATTCTCTATACTTTACTCTGCAAATTTCAGTGCTGTTCATGGTGGAAAGTAACTTCAAAAATTAAACAATTTCTATTTTTCTGCTCACATTTCGAATTCTTTTTGGAATGGCATTCCTATTTTTACATAAGTTTGGGTTAAAATATTTGCTCAAGTGCAAATTCAGGCCATATATTCCAATCTTTTATTTCAAGCTTAGGCAAAGTTCTTGGGATGCTCTTTGACAATAAGCTGACTTTGATTCCACATGTTAAGCAGCTTAAAGACAAGTGTACAAGGGCAATGAACATCCTCTGAATCATCTCTTCCACCACTCTAAGAGTGGATAGGTGTTTTATTCTCCAGATATATCATGCCATCATTTGATCTAAGCTGCATAATGGGTCCCTGGTTAAAGCATAGGCCAGGGACTTTGCACTGAAGATGTTGGACCCTGTGTTTCATCAGGGGCTTTCCACACTTCTCCAGTCCTAAGTTTATATGCAGAGTGCTTTGAATCTCTAATCCACCTCTGACATTTACAATTTTCTTTACAGTGTGCTGTACAGCTCCAATCACTGCCTTGGCATCACACTCATCACTGTTTTCATGCCTCAGTGGGCTCTGCTTTTTTGCAAGTACTTGATCTGTTATCCTAGTCTTTAGTCTTTGTATAGTTGCAAAGTTGAATGAAATGAGTCTAATACTGAATAACATTGCTGTCCTTGTCTCAATGGCTGGATCAATAGTCCTTTTAGAGCATGATGAAGTGCAAGAAAGCATCTTGCATCCGGAAGAGGAATTTTCCTAGCCCAGTACAAGTTTTCAGATCTTGTTTTCACTTCAGTAGTCATCATCTTTCTTTCTATCACATATCCTTCATCTTGAAAAATATCTTTTTATTTTTTCTAGTGAAATTCTAACTTAGGATTTATGAGAATATAAAGAAAAACAGAGAAGCACATCAAACTGAAACTCCTCTACATCTAATCTTGATTGTATAACCAATATCATTCTTAGGAACTTAGTCATCAGTATTATAAGGTATACTTGAAACTATTAAATTATAAAATGAGAAATTTGTAAGATTTGTAATGTGATATTTAAGTATTTATATTTTTACAAACATTTCTTAAACCCACAAGTTCTCCTTTACCTAAATTTAAAGGCTTATGTATAGAGTAATAATCATTGTAATAAGTAATTTTATGTGGTTTCTGATATTATTGAATGACATATCTATACCATCTATTTGATCAAAAGGTAATGTCATTCTACCACAACCCACATACCTGAAATTACTTTAATAGGCTTGAAGTTTGGTGCTTGATTGCAAGTTTAATTTAACATATCAAATCTGATTTTAGGGAAAATCATCACATGTGAATACTTACTAAGTATGTTTTAACATTTCACTATTTAAGCTTATTTATTACCCTGTTGTTCTCATCACCAGGGTGTTTGACATAGTTGTTTTTCACAGATTTCATTCTCTAAAAACAACTAGCTTTATTACAATACTGTCTAAAAGAAATATTACAGTTTCAAAATGAAATAGGAATCTAAAACTGTGCAATTTAACAACTATTCAATTTGACAAAGATTATACATGTCAACAATGACATGTTGTATAATCTTCTCCAAAATAAAAGTAAAAAACGACTATTAATTCAACTTGTCAAATTATATACATTCAAATACATTACATTCTCCCACAGCATGTTCAAGTATGCTTGACTTAATATGGGGATCTGAGGTTAGCATGTTCTTTCACTTGCTTTAACAGTTTTCTTTTAGTTCACCCCATGTCACCTTGCTGACAGCAGGGATAAGTAAATGTACACTACAGTTGTTGAAGCAGGAATCCAGTCCTTAAATCTAAAAAGAACTGTAGGCAACAATTAGTTTTCAACATATACCTCAGTCATTTTATACACCAGTTTTTAATATTTAAAGAATGTTTCCCTAAGTATTGTAAACTCATGGCAACAGGATATTTAGTATCTTCAAATGTATGTGGTTTACTAGAACATCAACTATTCAAATAAATACAAAGTATACTATTATTCTATCCAGGACATAAACGGGGAAATCATTTTTACATAATAATTTTTTGATGTTATAAAATTTTTTATGCAAACATCATTCATGCATGATGGAACAATATTTTAACAAAATTTTCTTTAAAAATTGCAAAATTAGAGTACAAGTCAGTGAATGTTTTTACAAAACACTTCACATTGAAAATTATGATTATTAATAGCAATTAAAGTGTCAAGAAATGAATGTTTGTGATCTTGCTGATGTTCCACAGTGAACTTTATACTACTGTCTACTGTTAATTCATGATGTTCGAAAAACACATAGGTTCAATAAGTCTTGATAGTCATGTCTACTGTTAAACTATTGAAGAAAGTGCGAGGCTTGATCAGAGTTCTTAAAGATGGTGAATGCATCATCCACATACCTATAACAATAGAGGTTTAAACGGTCGTAGGCAATTTTTGAACCTTTTTTTTCTTTCATAACAGCAGAAAAATTGAGAGTGTCAATCTAGAACCCATAGTAACACCATTGGTCTGACCATAAAACTTGCCATTCAGAAGAAAATGAGATTTCTTAGTGGCAAAATTCACTAATTTCAGAAAAACCAACTCAGGAATAACTGCCTCACAGGAGGTGGAAGAGAATTAGTTACTTTACTGATTTTACCAGTGGCCTTCTGGTTGTGTACTTTCCTACTGATTATCCATTTTTTTACTTTTCCTAGTTGCACTATACAGTGCTTTGTTTTCCAACAGCCTCATTACCTTACTAGTGAATAACAGGTCAATATCATGCCAGTAGAGGTGTGCCAGATTCAATCTTGTATCCTTGTTAGCTTCCTTGTTTAACTTTACCTCTGCATGGGCTGGCACATATAGTACAATTTTGAGATCATCTAACAGTATTTAATTTCTGGTTATGCTTCCTAATTTAATCAAGCTTCAATCGATGCATTATTTACTTTCCTACTGATTATCCATTTTTTTACTTTTCCTAGTTGCACTATACAGTGCTTTGTTTTCCAACAGCCTCATTACCTTACTAGTGAATAACAGGTCAATATCATGCCAGTAGAGGTGTGCCAGATTCAATCTTGTATCCTTGTTAGCTTCCTTGTTTAACTTTACCTCTGCATGGGCTGGCACATATAGTACAATTTTGAGATCATCTAACAGTATTTAATTTCTGGTTATGCTTCCTATATTAATCAAGCTTCAATCGATGCATTATTTAACAGACAACATGTTTTTGAATTCTCCTTGTTATGTTAAAAACTAAAAGAAAAACTTACTCCATAGATGAAACATCATTAAATGATAAAATTATAAAAGAACTATATGTTATAAATATGATGAGTATAAATAATTATAATAAATAAAGTAAATCAGAAATCTATGGTATAAATATTATAAGATTTTGCATCCTAAATGTATGACAAATCATAAGTTTAGATCTCATAAGTTTCAAGTCAGATCGAAAGTATGGAAAAAAAAAGGTTATAAATCAGTATAATTTAGCTCAAATCAAGTAAAAATCTTTGAGATGGATCTTAGTTTATTCTTATCACCTAATTTCCAATTTAATGTTAATTTTTCTCAAAGAAATACTTTCCTTCACAAATGTAAAGTTTAAAATACTAAATGTATGTTTACTTCTTTATTATAGTTAAATTAAAAAAAAAAAT